ACCAGTCTTCTGGTTAGCAGTCAAGTGCCTTAGGTACTTCACCACCAGAGCAGGTGTGCAAATGCATATTTTTTCCTCTTGAAATTGGGTTCTCTCCATTGTGAATATTTCCCATGGCACTAAGTATTCTCCAAAAACAGTTCTGTTTTATAGACATTATAGTCATAACTTAAGTCATTTATTTCTTACCTTATTGTTGGACATTAGGTTGATTCCAGTTTATTTCTATTATAAATAGTGCTGCAATTAGTATCTTTATATCTCTCTTTTCCCGTTAAGATAGAGTTCTAGAAGTAGAACTGACTCATAGTTTGAATGCATATTGAGTCAAAGTGTTTAAATGCATGCTGAGTCAGCTTGATGCCCAGTATTCCTTCAGAAAGGTGGTGTCCATTTATAAGCATTCCAGCAGTACCTGGGAATTTTTCCTACATTAGATGGCACTAGGAGTTAACTTTCCTTAAAACTACTTACCAATTTGATAGGTGAAGGATGGTATCTCAGTTTTATTTTGTATCTGTCAGATACTATAATTTCAGAAAATATTTGTTAATGTCCTTTGCCTTTTTCTGTTGTGTCCTTAGTCATATTAATTTATATAATGTATTTCTTTTCTTCTAGATCCTTTTATCCTGCCACACCAGCAAGTTGATAAAGGAGCCATCAAATTTGTACTCAGTGGAGCAAATATCATGTGTCCAGGCTTAACTTCTCCGGGAGCTAAGCTTTACCCAGCTGCGGTAGATACGATTGTTGTATCCTTCCTAGGAAAATGCATTAATTGTGTCCTTGCAGAAAAACACATACATTGTATTCACGCCATTACTGGAAGGTCTACCATCAACAGAACATTAGATACCACTATTTTAGAGGCTGTTTTTGTTGCAAGTTGAAGTCTAATCCATTCTGACTCATGGTGACCCCATAGGTACAGAATAGAACTGCTTCCTAGTATTTTTTATTGGAGGTAACTGTTAACTATTTGCTCATGCCTTTCTGGTTATGTTTGAAGATATGAGAAGTATTTTTTTTATTATTATTATTTCTTGAGACTAAATTGTGTCTCATTGTAGGTAGTTTCTTTTTTTTTCAGTTTTGGGATAATTTATTACACAGCAATAAAATATGTTCAGATGGAAAACCCTATAAGCTTCTGAAGCTATCATAATCTTTTTTTTTTATTAGGATTTGGGTGAAGATTTACAGAGTAAATTCACTTTTCATACAGCAGTTCACATATACTTTGTCTCATGTCATTGACC